TATATTTTAAAATAAAATAAAATGGCTTAGCGAATTCAGGAGTGTATCAGAGAGTGAAGTCAGGAGACAAAAATCACACAAGATCCTTGAACAGGGCCATTTTAATAAAATAATTCATAGGTGATTACTTAAAAGTGAAGAGAGTTTTTAGGGGTAAAATAGGCAGGTTTAGGGAGTTTTAGGAATTAGGGGATCCATGGGGGAGGGAGGCACAGTTGGCTTGGGACTTGGGACTGGGAAAAGGCATATATTCACAGAGAACTAAAGACGCCAGTCTAAGGGGAAAGGAGACACCCATTCCCAGGAGAAAAGGGGAAAGCCACCAGGAGAAAAACAACAGAGAGAAAGAGGAAAACAGATTTTCACAGGAAATAGAGAATTCTACCATAGGAGGAGAAAAAGAAGGGCCCCATGTGGGATGCATGTGTGTGTGTGTGTGTGTATTATATTATATAATATATAATATATTATATATTATATATATATATATACATTATATAATATAATACACACACACACACAGAAGGAAGAGGAAGAATTAGAAACATCAGTGAGAATCATTGATCAGCTGCCTCCTGCACGCTCCCTACTAAGGATCGAGCTTGCAACCCGGGCATGTGCCTTTGACTGGACTCTAAACCAGGGCCCTTCAGTCCACAGGCCCACGCTCTATCCACTGAGCCAAACCAGCTAGGGCCCCACGTGGGGTTTGAGCTCTGAAGCTGCTATAGTGACCAATCAGAGAAGAGGATCAGGACACAAAGAACTGCAGCCTTTATAGACCTTAGGAAAAGGAGGCTTAGTGGGCTACCCCTTTGGAACCCCCTCCCCACCTGGGAGTCGTGCTTGTTTCACCGAAAGTTCCCACCTTTTCCTATACCACCTTTTGTCCGGGGCTTCATTCTTCGAATCCACCTGGACAAGGACCCTGGAAAGAAATCACCTTCGCATCCTGCCCAGAGAAAAACCACGCATTTCAATTTGATTTCCATGTTTCAAAAGAATAGGACTCCGAGTCCAGAACAGTTGCAAAAACAAACAAAAACCCCAGCTCAGCCGAAACTTATTTGGCTCAGTGGATAGAGCGTCGGCCTGCGGACTGAAAGGTCCCAGGTTCAATTCCAGTCGAGGGCATGTACATTGGTTGCGGGCACATCCCCAGTGGGGGATGTGCAAGAGGCAGTTGATCGATGACTCTCTCTCGATGTTTCTAACTCTCTATCCCTCTCTCTTCCTCTCTGAAAAATCAATAAAATATATTAAAAAAAAAAAAAAAAAAAAAAAAAAAAAAAACAGCTCTATCTCTAAGCCCAAAGTGAAAAACATGAAGGAACTGAAGACTAGGAGAGGCTCCTCACCACGCCCCGGCTGGGTGCTAGGGAAGACCTCACGGGAGCACAGCCTGCCAGTGCTGAAGGAGCTTGTGGAGGGAATGGCCCACAGACAGTTCCTGAGGGAGGGCCAGGTGCCACAGAAGTAGCCCCTGGGAGGATCTGCACCTCGGGGGCAGGGTTGGCAGGTGTGCACTGAGTGACATTAGCTGGAGCTGCTCTGCTGGGACCACAGGGCTCCTACGAATGGAAATGAGTTCCCAACAAACTCCAGTTGATGAGATGGTTGTTTGTAGTGCACCTCCTCAGAGTTACATGCTTTAATTCTGATGCATGCTGCAAGCACTGTTGACCCGGCTCCCCAGCCCTCCTCACCTACAATTCAGAGAAACAGCCCACAGGCAAACTGTGACTAAACATTTGTCCTGTCATTTCCCTCTTCAAAGCCAATTTGCAATGAATACATACTTGCCACAAAAAGTTTCAACAAAGGCAACTCCAGAAGAATTCATATGGTAAAGGACATAAAGGATGCAACATGGCAGAGTGGTGGGACTGCAGATTAGGAGACCATCTAGCTTCTCTTCCTGGCTCTGACCAACTCGGGAAACATGTAAACCTCTGGCCCTGTTTCTACATCCGTTTAGAGAAAGATAGGGCTGAATTATTTCACTTCTATTCAAAATGCAACATGAAATCCTTTTAGAGATTGTAACCAGCTTTCTTTCTAATGAAAAATTCAAGACATTTTCTGAAACTTGTTTTAGATACATATGTAGAGAGAAGCCTGGTGCATCAAAATGCATGCAACTGAGGGGGGATCCCACAGCCCAGCCTGCCCCCTCTCACAGTCCGGGAGCCCTCAGGGGCAGGTGACCCAGTGATCAGGGGAAGGTGACACCCCCATCACACCTCTGCTGCTGCCACTGCCAGCAGCACAAGCCTCAACCAGCCCTGGTTACATGAACCTCGGGTGACCCTAGGTGACTGGGCAGCTGCCACCCAAGGCTCGCCTGCACCTCAGGCCAGCCCGAGATGGCTGGGCAGCCGACATCCGAGGCTTGCCTGCGCCTCGGGCTGGTCCTGGGCGGCTGGGGGCTGAGGGTGGGTTTGGCCACACCGTGCACCTGCCACTCCCCCACCTGGGCTGAAAGGACTGTGGGATTCCAGTGGAGCTGAGGGGATTGAGTGCTGCCATCTTATGGCTATGGGTGCCACTATCTTTGTGATGGCATGATGGTCAATTTGCATATTCCCTCTTTATTGAATAGGATATATAGATTTCAGAGAGGAAATGAGGAGAGCTAGAAACATCAGTGCTGAAAGAGAATCATTGATTGGCTACCTCCTGGTTCATAGGTCAATGCTCAATTGCCTAGCAAACACCAGCCATATATACTGGTTTGCATTATATTTCTTTTTTTATATATATTTTGATTTTTAACAGAGAGGAAGGTAGGATAGAGAGTTAGAAACATCAATGGGAGAGAAACATCAACCAGCTGCCTCCTGCCACCAGGGATGTGCCCGCAACCAAGGTACATGCCCTTGACCGGAATCGAATCTGGGACCTTTCAGTCCGCAGTCCGACGCTCTATCCACTGAGCCAAACCAGTTTCGACTATAAGATATTTCTTAGTGAATGTCAGTTAGTTTGAAAACCATTGATGTAATCTTTTAAATTCCTATGTAATAATTTTATAACAAAACAGATCAATAAGAATTCAATCTATTTCAAGACCAGTAAATCACAAAGCACGAAATCACCACTTATATGGAAAGTTTTATCAAAGCTAACATTTATTTGGTGCATACTCTGTGTTTGCTCTCAGGTGCCTTCACATATATCTTTTCCTTTAATATGTAAAAGCAATCATGTGAGGTATTTTACAGGTTAAAAAGACAACATAACAAAAAACTACTTCCCTTTAACTTATTCAGGTGAAAAGAAGGGTTATAAGGATTCCAAAATAAAAACAAAAACAAACAAATCAAACCCCACCAAGTGCATGGCCTATTTTCATTTCCTTTGTACATCTTCTACATATATCACACACTTCAGCATTAGAAGAGCCGGTTCATACAAAAGGGACTCTTCCTTGTAATTTTTGTCTACAGGTGCTTTTTAACTTACCAATTTTCTACTCTAAGCACACACAAAAAAACTTAAATGCTGTCAATATCTGAAATAATTTTTAAGGTGATCTAGTACTTTGAAAATTCTGTTCACACAGAAATAAAAGTCTAAATATAGAACTTTTTCAGAGGCTATTTCTCAACAGAAAAAGGCAATGGTAACAGTTCAATTGATAGAAATGATTTAAATAAAATACCTTCAAGAAAATAAAGTGTAGGGAAATTATTTTCTACAGATGTAGCACCGTTACCTCAATAAATGAGCAAATTTCAAGATGTAAGAATTACATATAATTTTTCAAGTAATCTATTTCATACTTACAAGTTCAAAGTATATGCTATTACATTAAGCTTTCCTTCTAACTAAAAGTTCAACATACTGACATCAAGGTATTTTACAAAATAAAAAAGCAATTTCCTAATAAACAGTGACTACTAAATTGTTACAAAGAAAAACTCAACATTAAGCAATGTTATTCCATATGTAAACTTTTCTCAAGAGAAATATTGTGTTACAAACAAGACATAATCTGGTCAAGGTTAATGTATTTGACAAAACACTTGATCTTCCTAGTGCTTTTTATTTCTTGGCTGTTTTTTCAGAATTTGAGTCCTTTTTCTAAAACCATGTAATAAAACACAGCTCATACAGAACCCCAATATAAAGCTGACTTTTTTAAAAAAATATGTTTTTATTGATTTCAGAGAGAGGGACAGAGTGATAGAAACATCAATGATGAGAGACCATCAATCACTGATTGGCTGCCTCCTGCACGCCCCCTATTGGGTACTGTGTCCACAACCCAGGCATGAGCCCTGACTGAAAATGAAAGGTGACCTCCCTGGTTCATGGGTAGATGCCCAACCACTGAGCAACTCTGGCCAGGTGCTGATTTTTTTATTTTTTAAATTATGCTCTTACTGAATGCCACTATCAATATTACCATCACTTTATAATCAAGTACTGTCTGGTCAATGATATATTTAGTATGTGTATACATATGTATTTGAATGAAAACTTAGTATCAGCACACTAAATAGCATATGATTTATTTTAAAGAATTGCTGGTCTCATATTTAAAAACCACAAACTCTACGGCAGTAACTATAATACATATATATTCATCTGAAAGATGATTTTAAAGTTTTCATATAATGGCAGAATATAATTTAACGAAATAAGAATAACGTTTATAACACACGGCTCCACCTGTGATTGAATGAATAATCAGCAAATCAAAGAAAAACATCAGAGAAAGGTTTTGAAAAATAAAGCATGTTTCCTGTTAGAAGAATTTATTCTTTCCTTCTAAAAATATCTATTTATAACTTTCAAATAAGAGGTTTCTGAAATTCCTAGAAAAGAAGTAAACTTCAGTGGTAGTAATTGATGAGGTCACACTTTGTCATGGTAAACTCAAAATTAATCTCTTGGTAGCCAGAAGATACAACTGCTCATTTTTATAGAAGTAAAGTTTATTACATTTGAAACAATACAGCAGAAATCTCAAATGTTTACTCATTAAATATAATTTAATTCTTACAAATCTCCTTTTGAAAATGCAATTCATATATATCGCAACCTCGGAATTTTGAATTCAAGTGAAATATAAAGGCAATAGTCAGGGAAATCACATTAGGGAACTTTGTCAAATATATGCACAAATCAGTACATACCTCTCGTGTCTGGACACCATAGGAAAAAGTGATTCTAAATATATCCAAGGAAATGCAGAAAAATACATTACTAGTTGAGGCAGACCATGCTAAAATATAATTTACAATGATTAATTTGCATTTAAGGTGGTTAATAATGCCTTTAGTTTGAACCAATGAAATCAATGTTAAGTCAAATTTTGCAGTATTTGCTCGGTCTTTTGTACTAAACATTAGTTCATCTGAGAAGTAAATAAGATTGGAAAAAGTAATGATCCTTTTCTCATTATGCTTATTATTTCCTCACTCAGTCATACTAAATGCTCACAAATCAACACAGCATCAAGATTTTTCACATTGAAATGAAGACTAATGATTTGTGAAGGCAGACTATGTACCATGTAGTATTTAATAGGTAAAACTTGCAATTACCATCAACTCAATTTTTTAAAATAACAAGATTTACAAGCAAAATAAACATTTGATTAAAAAATTTTGCTATTCAAGGTACTCAGGTATCTTCTCTTTGAGATTGGTACAGGTTGGGTCTTTAAAAAACCCGAAGAGAATATGGTAAGAGGGAAATAATTCCTCAATGCTTTAAAAAACTCTACTGTTAGAGGAGTCCATACAACCACTATGCTGGCATAGAAACAGGTGTTTTCTATCTTAGAACCATTCATTTTCCCACAGAAATAGTTTTTCCAAGCCAACTATATAAAGATGTAAATCAGTTCACACATGATTAAAATTGAATCCTTTAAAAATAGGAGCAATACACCTCACCCAAATAGATCTTTTAAGTCATTGCTAGCTGAACTGCTACTGGTCATAGTAGTTGGTGGCTGTGCAAAGTTCTGTGGGTTAAAGAAAGGATTGGCTTGCATACCAAAGGCGGATTGTCCCATCACGTTCATTTGTGTTCCCATTACTGAAGTGCCCATACCTGGAGACCCTTGAGGAGGTGCAAACTGATTAAGCCACTGATTCGGTTTCTGTTGTGATAACTGGTTCATGCTAACTTTGGGTTTCTGAGGGCCAAAGAGATTATTAAGAGCAGACATATCTGGGGGTCTTTGCTGAGTCTGCTTTGCACCAGCAGGAGGAATCCCCACAGCATTGAAGTTTGGCAAAGCGGGAGGTGTTCCCATTGTCATCGTGGTCACGCCAGGTGTGCTTGGACTGCTGAAGAAGTTCTGGTTTGTATTAACTGGCATGTTGAATCCTGAGGTCTGAAAGCCCATGTTAGCATTTAGGCCATTTGTCAAATTTCTCTTTGTATTATCAACTGGTGCAGAAAACATCATGCCACGGCCCATGGAAGGAACAGAAGTGAAGGTACTTGAAGCAGAACTTTTAGTGGTACTAACAGACAGGCTGGTCAAAGATGACATATTATCCATCAATGTGTCTGTCAAGTCCTTAGTCTGAAAAATATGAGGGAATTACTTCATCTCCAAGAATTATAAATTACTTTAAATTAATAAACATTTGATAGATTATATTATAAAGGACAAGTTAAAATTAAGCTCAACAGTTTACACCAAGTTAGCAAACCATGCCACAGACCAAATCCAACCTATCAATACATATTTTTGTTTTTTCACAGATGAACATTTGTAGTCAATTTGCTGATAAGGAACACTAATTTTGAACTCAAATGAATTGTTGTCTTCCCCACCTTTCCCAAAAGAGAACTGTAGTCTTCTCATTAGTAAATCTTTATAACAAAAATGGATACTTTATTATTTTTATATTTTGAACTCTATCAAAACTTTGTGAAAATTTCTTTTCTTTAATATTACATAATTTAAAAATATTCTGGTCCTTGCCAGTTTGGCTCAGTGGAAAAAGCGTCAGTCTGAGGACTGAAGGGTCTCAGGTTCAATTCAGGTCAAGGGCACATGCCTGGGGTTGCAGGCTTGGCCCCCAGTGTGAGCAGTGCAGGAGGCAGCCAACCATTTATTCTCTCCTATCACTGTTGTTTCTATCTCTCTCTTCTTCTCCCTTCCTCTCTGAAATAATAAAATATATATATTTTTAAATACTCTGGATTTTGCATGTTGACGCACTAAAATGTTTTCCAGAATTTTAGAGATTAAAAGATAACAAAAAAATAACTTAAAGTTATTTCTGAAACCAGTAAGGAATGTACACTCTTTACAAGCAGGGACTTTAATCACTGCCACAGTACCAGTACCTATATAACACTGCCTAGAAAATAGTAGGAAATAATTGCTGGTCAGGAAATACATAAAAAGTATTCCTAAACCAAGTTACAAGCCCAACTACAATTGAAACACCAAAATTTGAAAATTATTTTTTAGTCAAAAATACATAAATGCATGTTATATTACTGATCATTTCAAAGTGAACAGTGTTTAATTAGTACCAAAGGACCTAATATTTAAAAACAAAAAACAAAAATCCTCTTTTCATCTAGCTTCCTTTTTATTGGTAACAAGCGTACAAAACATTATCCACCATGTAGGGTATAGAGGAGTTGTTGGAAAATCCTTTATACCCATACGTCTCAAAACTGAATATTAAATAAAGTATTATTTACAATACCTTTTTATATAAACCCCAGTAAGCATATTAAATTCTATATTACCTTACTCTCTAAGAGTAGTGTATGCTTTTAAAAAAACAAATGAACTCTGACCTGTTTCACTGGAGCAATAGGTGTATGTACTTGGGGTTTAAGAGGCTGCTGACTTTTCAACTTCTGTGCCTGCTCCTGTTCTTTTGCTAATTTTTGTTTTTCTTCAAGTGTAAGTGATGCCTTAAAACAAAACAAAACAAAACAAAAAACAAAAAAATTAACTGACAACTTCATAATTCTATTAATAAAACAGAAGATTTCTTTTTTTGTAAAGCAAATCTTGGTATGTTTGACAATACCAAATAGTTTGCAAACTACTAATATATTGGTGATTGCTATAGGTTAAGTTACATTTTGAATTAACTTTAAACAGAGAAAAGTAATCTTTAGCACAGATTCTGTAACTTTAGAAAGTTACAGAATCTGTGCTAAAATATTTCTAGTATGAAAACAATTATTGTTTTAAGAACATTCATTAAATCATATTTTTACAGACAATGAGAATATGATTAGGTGATTTCATTTTACAAAATTAGAAGATTTTGTTCAACTTTAGTCTATTTCATTCCAAAAATATTTTAGGAATTCATAAAAAAGCAAAGGAAGAAGTAAACAACTTCTTTCACTATGCCTGCCTCAAATTTGACATTTGTCCATTTCTTTTTCAATCTTGCTAAACTATAAACACAATTTTGAAAAGCCACAATGGCTTTACACACATAGGTATTCTCATTTGTTGAATGAAAAGAGGAAAACTGCCCTCAGCAGAAATTCAAAACTGAAGTAGTATTTTATATTGGATGCTACCAATATTTCAATTGGAAATAATTTTATAGTTTAGTATTCAAAATCAGAAGCAGAAAGAAGACATAGAATTTACCAAGGGGTATGACACTGACCAAATACAGCAGAAAAGACAAAGGAGTTAGGCAATCTAGAAATGTTACCCTATGGGAAGCTGTAATAAAGCAACTAAAAATCATAAGCAGTTTATTCTCAACATGGGTCAGCTCATGTTCCACTGTTAACTTTTAAATTTCATAAAAATAATGTTCTTATTAAGATGCTAAACATTATTTCCCAACAAAAGTCTGTGGTTTACAGGAAACTGTGTGTGTGTGTGTGTATATGTGTGTGTGTGTATATGTGTGTGTGTGTGTGTGTGTGTGTGTGTGTGTGTGTGTGCGCGCGCACACACACAAAAATACTAGAGGCCCTGTGCATGGGTGATGGGGGGGGGGTCCCTCAGCCCAGCCTGCATCCTCTCCAATCTGGGACCCCTCGAGGGATGTCTGACTGCTTTAGGCCCGATCCCAGATCCCAATAGGATCAGGCCTAAATGGGCAGTCAGACATCCCTCTCACAATCCAGAACTGCTGACTCCCAAACACTCACCTGCCTGCCTGTCTGCCTGACTGCCCCTAACTGCTTATGCCTGACAGCCTGATCACCCCCTAATCACTCCCCTGATCGACGCCTAACTGCTCCCCTGTCAGTTCTATTGCCAATAAATGCCATCCCCTGCTGACCTGGTCACTCCTAATTGCCCTCCCCTGCTGACCTGGTCACCCCTAACTGCCTTCACTTGCCAGCCTGGCTGTCCCTAACAGCCCTCTCCTGCCAGCCTGGTCATCACCAACTGCCCTCCCCTGGAGGTTTGGTCCCCCCCAACTGCCCTCCCCTGCAGCCTGATCACCCCCAACTGCCCTCCCCTGCTGGCCTGATTACCCATCACTGTTCTCCCCTGCCAGCCATCTTTTGGCAGCCATCTTTGACCCACATGGGGGCGGCCATCTTGTGTGTTGGGAGTGATGGTCAATTTGTAAATTATCCTTTTATTAGATAGGAGATGTGTGTGTGTGTGTGTGTGTGTGTGTGTGTGTGTGTGTGCGCGCGCGCACGCAGATATATATATATGATAAAAAGAACAGTAGTAAAGAAACTTACTCTTTTGTGTTTATTCTGTAACACATCCTCTTTATTTTCTGATTCACCACCAGTCAGAAAGTCTGTTCCAATGTTGTTAAAAACTTTGTCAATCTGATGAAACAGAAAAAAGTCAACTGCTTAAATGACATAAAAACATATTGTGATTTTACTTCTTAAAGATCAAAAGCCCCCAAATGAAGCACACTGTGAAGCACTTTTACAAAAACTTAATCTAAATATCTTCATACCTGAGATCCAACATTTGTAACTTTTGTCTCTTCAGAAATATTCCTTTGATTTCCTATATCCAAAGACCTGTAGGAAAATTGACAATTATGACAAAGTAATAAAAAGAAATGCATGTTTTTGAAATATGCATGCTAAAATTAATTCATTTACTTGGAGTTTACTAGAACTCCTGAAAATTCAACTTCATTCTTTAAGAAGAATCATAAATAGTTTTCACTATTTACTAGTAGTAATGTCTGCTTGCCCTAAACCCCAAATGAACATTTGTATACAAGTCTTTTTTTTAACTCATTATTTGAGATTTACAGCAAAATGTACTCAGAATGTATTAAAACCAGGCAAGCATGGTTCTTACCATCAGTTTATACACTGAGAGATAAGATGTAATATGGGAAAAGTTTGACTCTAACAATAAATGCTATAATCATTGTGATGTAGACCAGATCTACAT